TTGTTTGGATGGTCGTTGAAAAAAATTCTTAAAAAATCCAGTTTATTGTTTGGATGATCGTTGAAAAAAATTCTTTAAAAAAATCCACGATTATTGGACTAAAGGTCCTTGAAATTTTTCAAAAAAAGGGTTCTGGGAACAATTCTTTAAAAAATCCGCGTTTATTATTTGGATGGAAATTGAAAAAATTCTTAAAAAAGATCTACGTTTATTGTTTGGATGGTCCTTGAAAAAATTCTTAAAAAGATCCTCGTTTATTGTTTGGATGGTCCTTGAAAAAATTCTTAAAAAAATCCACGTTTATTGTTTGGATGGTCCTGAAAAAAAATCTTTAAAAAATTCACGGATGGTCCTTGAAAAAAATTCTTTAAAAAATCCACGTTTATTGGACTAAAGGTCCTTTGAAAAAATTCTTTAAAAATCCACGTTTATTGGACTAAAGGTCCTTTGAAAAAATTCTTTAAAAATCCACGTTTATTGACTAAAGGTCCTTTGAAAAAATTCTTTAAAAAATCCACGTTTATTGGACTAAAGGTCCTTTGAAAAAATTCTTTAAAAAATCCACGTTTATTGGACTAAAGGTCCTTTGAACAAATTCTTTAAAAAATCCACGTTTATTGGACTAAAGGTCCTTTGAAAAAATTCTTTAAAAAATCCACGTTTATTGGACTAAAGGTCCTTTGAAAAATTCTTTAAAAAATCCACGTTTATTGGACTAAAGGTCCTTTGAAAAAATTCTTTAAAAAATCCACGTTTATTGTTTGGATGGTCCTTGAAAAAAATCCTTTAAAAAATCCACGTTTATTGGACTAAAGGTCCTTGAAAAATATTCTTTAAAAAATCCACGTTTATTGTTTGGATGGTCCTTAAAAAAATTCTTTAAAAAAATCCACGTATATTGTTTGGATGGTCCTTGAAAAAAAATCTTTAAAAAAATCCACGGATGGTCCTTGAAAAAAAAATCTTTAAAAAATCCACGGATGGTCCTTGAAAAAAAATCTTTTAAAAATCCACGGATGGTCCTTGAAAAAAATTCTTTTAAAAATCCAGGATTATAGTTTGGATGGTCCTCGAAAAAAATTCTTTAAAAAATCCACGTTTGTAGCCCTGATAGTCCATGAAAAAAATTCTTGTAGCCCTGATAGTCCATGAAAAAAATTCTTTACAAAATCCACGTTTGTAGCCCTGATAGTCCATGAAAAAAAATTCTTAAAAAAATCCACGTTGTAGCCCTGATAGTCCTTGAAAAAATTCTTTAAAAAATCCACGTTTATTGTTTGGATAGTCCTTGAAAAAAATTCTTTAAAAATCCCTGGATGGTCCTTGAAAAAATTCTTTAAAAAATCCACGTTTATTGTTTGGATAGTCCTTGAAAAAAATTCTTTAAAAATCCCTGGATGGTCCTTGAAAAAATTCTTTAAAAAATCCACGTTTATTAGACTAAAGGTCCTTGAAAAAAATTCTCTAAAAATCCCTGGATGGTCCTTGAAAAAAATTCTTAAAAAAATCCACGTTTATTGTTTGGATGGTCCTTGAAAAAAATCTTTAAAATATTCACGGATGGTCCTTGAAAAAAAATCTTTAAAAAATCCACGTTTATTGGACTAAAGGTCCTTTGAAAAAATTCTTTAAAAAATCCACGTTATTGGACTAAAGGTCCTTTGAAAAAATTCTTTAAAAAATCCACGTTATTGGACTAAAGGTCCTTTGAAAAAATTCTTTAAAAAATCCACGTTTATTGGACTAAAGGTCCTTTGAAAAAATTCTTTAAAAAATCCACGTTTATTGGACTAAAGGTCCTTTGAAAAAATTCCTTAAAAAATCCACGTTTTTTTGTTTGGATAGTCCTTGAAAAAAATTCTTTAAAAAATCCACGTTTATTGTTTGGATGGTCCTTGAAAAAAATTCTTTAAAAAATCCACGTTTCTTGTTTGGATGGTCCTTGAAAAAAAATTCCTTAAAAATCCACGTCTATTGTTTGGATGGTCTTTGAAAAAAATTCGTTAAAAAATCCACGTTTATTGGACTGAAGGTCCTTTGAAAGAATTCTTTAAAAAATCCACGTTTATTGTTTGGATGGTCCTTGAAAAAAATTCTATAAAAAATCCAGGTTTATTGTTTGGATGGTCCTTGAAAAAAATTCTTTAAAAAAATCCACGTTTATTGTTTGGATGGTCCTTGAAAAAATTCTTTAAAAAATCTACGTTTATTGTTTGGATGGTCCTTGAAAAAAATTATTCAAAAAATCCCCGGATGGTCCTTGAAAAATATTCTTTAAAAAATCCACGTTTATTGTTTGGATGGTCCTTGAAAAAAATTCTTTAAAAAAATCCACGTTTATTGTTTGGATGGTCCTTGAAAAAAAAATCTTTAAAAAATCCACGTTTATTGTTTGGATGGTCCTTAAAAAAATTCTTTAAAAAATCCACGTTTATTGGACTAAAGGTCCTTGAAAAATATTCTTTAAAAAATCCACGTTTATTGGACTAAGGGTCCTTGAAAAATATTCTTTAAAAAATCCACGTTTATTGGACTAAAGGTCCTTGAAAAATATTCTTTAAAAAATCCACGTTTATTGGACTAAAGGTCCTTGAAAAAAATTCTTTAAAAAATCCACGTTTATTGGACTAAAGGTCCTTGAAAAATATTCTTTAAAAAATCCACGTTTATTGGACTAAAGGTCCTTGAAAAAAATTCTTTAAAAAATCCACGTTTATTGGACTAAAGGTCCTTGAAAAAAATTCTTTAAAAAATCCACGTTTATTGGACTAAAGGTCCTTGAAAAAATTCTTTAAAAAATCCACGTTTATTGGACTAAAGGTCCTTGAAAAAAAATTCTTTAAAAAATCCACGTTTATTGGACTAAAGGTCCTTGAAAAATATTCTTTAAAAAATCCACGTTTATTGGACTAAAGGTCCTTGAAAAAATTCTTTAAAAAATCCACGTTTATTGTTTGGATGGTCGTTGAAAAAAATTCTTTAAAAAATCCACGATTATTGTTTGGATGGTCCTTGAAAAAAATTCTTTAAAAAATCCACGTTTATTGTTTGGATGGTCCTTGAAAAAAATTCTTTAAAAAATCCACGTTTATTGTTTGGATGGTCGTTGAAAAAAATTCTTTAAAATATCCACGTTTATTGTTTGGATGATCGTTGAAAAAAAATTCTTTAAAAAATCCACGTTTATTGTTTGGATGGTCCTTGAAAAAAATTCTTTAAAAAATCCATTTTAATGTTTGGATGGTCCTTAAAAAAATTCTTTAAAAAATCCACGTTTATTGTTTGAAAGGTCCTTTAAAATTTTGTTTTAAAAAATCCATGTTTATTGTTTGAATGGTTCTTGAAAAAAATTCTTTAAAAAATCCACGTTTATTGTTTGGATGGTCCTTGAAAAAAATTATTTAGAAAATCCAGGTTTATTTTTCGGATGGTCCTTGAAAAAAAATTCTTTAAAAAATCCAGGTTTATTGTTGGGATGGTCATTAAAAAAAATTCTTTAAAAAATCCACGTTTATTGTTTGGATGGTCGTTGAAAACAAAATTCTTTAAAAAATCCACGTTTATTGTTTGGATGGTCGTTGAAAAAAATTCTTTAAAAAATCCACGTTTATTGTTTGGATGATCGTTGAAAAAAAATTCTTTAAAAAAATCCACGTTTATTGTTTGGATGGTCCTTGAAAAAAATTCTTTAAAAAATCCATTTTAATGTTGGATGGTCCTTAAAAAAATTCTTTAAAAAATCCACGTTTATTGTTTGAAAGGTCCTTTAAAAATTTTGTTTTAAAAAATCCATGTTTATTGTTTGAATGGTTCTTGAAAAAAATTCTTTAAAAAATCCACGTTTATTGTTTGGATGGTCCTTGAAAAAAATTATTTAGAAAATCCAGGTTTATTTTTCGGATGGTCCTTGAAAAAAATTCTTTAAAAAATCCAGGTTTATTGTTGGGATGGTCATTAAAAAAAATTCTTTAAAAAATCCACGTTTATTGTTTGGATGGTCGTTGAAACAAAATTCTTTAAAAAATCCACGTTTATTGTTTGGATGGTCCTTGAAAAAAAATTCTTTAAAAAATCCAGGTGTTTTGGTTGGATGGTCCTTGAAAAAAATTCTTTAAAAAATCCACGTTTATTGTTTGGATGGTCCTTGAAAAAATTCTTTAAAAAATCCACGTTTATTGTTTGGATGGTCCTTGAAAAAAATCTTTAAAAAATCCATGTTTATTGTTTGGATGGCCCTTGAACAAAATTGTTTAAAAATTCAGGTTAATTGGACTAAAGATCCTTGAAAAAAATTCTTTAAAAAATCCAGGTTAATTGGACTAAAGATCCTTGAAAAAAATTCTTTAAAAAATCCACGTTTATAGTTTGGATGGTCCTTGAAAAATATTCTTTAAAAAATCCACGTTTGTAGCCCTGATAGTCCTTGAAAAAAATTCTTTAAAAAATCCACGTTTATTGTTTGGATGGTCCTTGAGAAAAATTCTTTAAAAAAATCCGTTCTTTCCTTATTTTTATTTATTTTCTTTTGATTTTTAATTCATATTCATGTGCCTTTGTTTGTTGCTGATTTTCAATTTATTTTAAATGTCATTTTTTTTCTTCTCCGTTGTTTTTTCTTCTTCTCATCTCCACAATAGCCCAGTGATGAACTTTGTTTTAGAGTTCCATTCAGTCTCCTCTTTTTTTTTTCTTTTCTCCGTTTTTTGCTTTGATTTGTTATGAAAAAATAATAGAAAAGATTTTGAATAAGCTTCATTTCTTTGGCGCTCTCAATCAAGAAAGATAGAAAAAAAAAACAAAAGAAAGAGAGAAAATAAAAAAGAAAAGCTAATATTTGGTGTTGTTCTTGTCTTTTGTGATTTGTTGTTTTTCCATTTCCATCTCAAATCTCTCTGTGGAAATTGCCGCCGCCTGAAAATAAATAATCCGCCACCATGCATCATGCCTCCGTCTCCAGTATTATCCAGCTCCACATCAGTCACAGGCCCATCATCATGAGCTGATGCATCAATCCAGCCTGGTCGGCCAGTGCCAGCGCCACAAAGCCAATGAAGTTTCGGTTAGCTTTGCAAATCGTAATGAGAATCTTGGTATGCTACAGCTTTCAAGACAACAGCAACAGCAGCAACAACAACAGCTGGCAGCTGCAACATCATCTAATCATCAGCAGCAGCAACAACAACAACACCAGCAGTATCAAAACATAACCCCCAATCCTAACTGGCTGCCACCGCAAACTAATAAAAGAGCCCCGGAAGAGATTGATGACCAAAGACAGAATGCAGCAACAACTACAACACTGCATGGCTATCGGCCGGAAAGCCATCAAATTTCCCAGCAAACATCCTACAATAGCTCATCAGCCGCACAACAACAACAACAACAACACCAGCAATCTCTGCCTTATTGCACCAAACACCCGGAGAATTTCCTCAACAACTCACCGGCCAATGATATCGGTGATCTGATGGGGAATTATGTGGCCAAGAAAACGTATATCACTCCCTTCGACATACCCTCCCCGCCACCACAACCGGCTGAGCATAAAAGATTTTCAAGTGGCCAATATGTGGCAAAGGCAACATGCCCCAGCGGCCCGGGGGAGGCCACAGCAACCTTGTCTGGCGCCAACAGCAGCATTGGCAACATAAAGAGCCATTGTCAGTGTGTGGAGCACAATGTCAGGGGTGGCAGAAACGGTGGGGGTTGCCATTTAAATCATAAACATTATCCGCAAACACAAACACATCAAAGACCGGCAGCAGGTACAAGCAACAACATCAACATCAACAACAGCAGTCTGACAACATCAACCCAGCAGCAGCAGCATCGCAATCATCATCACAGCCATCATTACATTGATGAGCCCCTCAACCGCACCGCCTCCCTTAAATACAACAATCCAACCGTTGGCCACCATCAACAGTATCCTCATCACCAACACCACCAACATCCTCCACCTCCACCTCCTCATCATCAGCAGCATCAGCCACAATATCGGAAAATTGATGTTTTTGCTGCAGCCGATGATGACGACAACGACACCAGTCCCAGCATAAAGGTAAATGATAAGCATGTCTCTGTTCTGCAGTCGTCTTTTGTTGTTGCTGCTTTTGTTGTTTTCTTTGGTTCTTTTGTGTTCACGTTTATGTTTCGTTTTTTTTTTCTTCTCGCATATTCTCTTTGTGTGAGATTTCCTTCCTTGTAGATTGTAGTCCTTGTCGCTAGTTGTCAGTTGTCGAAGCCTTGCACTTGGTACATGTTTTTCGTTAAAAAAAAAAAAAAAAAAAAAAAAAAAAACAGAAAAAAAACAAGAAAATGCAAAACATGTGAGTCCTCTTGGTGAGCTACAATGGGCCAAAGAAGTATCTAAACAGGGTCGGTAGGTATGTCCTTAAAACCTACTTCTTAAAAATATTCTTTAAAAAATCCATGTTTATAGGACTAAAGGTCCTTGAAAATATTCTTTAAAAAATCCACGTTTATTGGACTTAAGGTCCTTAAAAATATTCTTTAAAAAATCCATGTTTATAGGACTAAAGGTCCTTGAAAATATTCTTTAAAAAATCCACGTTTATTGGACTTAAGGTCCTTAAAAATATTCTTTAAAAAATCCACGTTTATTGGACTGAAGGTCCTTAAAAATAATCTTTAAAAAATCCACGTTTATTGGACTAAAGGTCCTTAAAAATATTCTTTAAAAAATCCACGTTTATTAGACTAAAGGTCATGGAAAAAAATTCTTAAAAAAATCCAGGTTTATTCTTTGAAAGGTCCTTGAAAAAAAATCTTTAAAAAATCCACGTTTATTGGTCGGATGGTCCTTGAAAAAATTTCTTTAAAAAATCCACGTCTTTTGTTTGAAAGGTCCTTGAAAAAAAATCTTTAAAAAATCCACGTTTTTGTTTGAAAGGCCCTTGAAAAAACAATTTAAAAATTCCGCGAGGCCCTTAAAAAAAATCTTTAAAAAATCCACGTTTATTGTTTGAAAGATCCCTGAAAAAAAATTCTTCTAAAAATTCAACTTTTTTGGACTAAAGAACCTTGAAAAAAAATTCTTTAATAAATCCAAGTTTATTGTACCAAAGTCCTGGTAAAAATTCTTTAAAAAATTCACGTTTTTTCATTGAAAGGTCCTTGAAAAAAAATTCTTTGAAAAATCCACGTTTATTGTTTGAAAGGTCCTTGAAAAAAAAAATCTCTAAAAAATCCACGTTTATTGTTTGGAAGGTCCTTGAAAAAAAATTCTATAAAAAAAAAATCCACGTTTATTGTTTGAAAGGTCCTTGAGAAAAATTCTTTAAAAAATCCACGTTTTTTGTTTGAAAGGTCCTTAAAAAAATCTTTAAACAATTCACTTTTTTTGTTTGAAAGGTCCTCTTTAAAAATTCCAAGTTCATTGGTCGGATGGTCCTTGAAAAAAATTCTTTAAAAAACCCACGTTTATTGTTTGAAAGGAGCTTGAAAAAGTCTTTAAAAATATCCAAGTTTATTGTCTGAAAGATCCTTGAAAAAATTCTTTTAAGAACTCAACTTTTTTGGATAAAGATCCTTGAAAAAAAATTAAAAATCCAAGTTTGAAGCACTAGAGGTCCTTAAAAAAAATATTTAAAAAATCCAAGTTTATTATTCCAATGGTTCTTGAAAAAAATTGTAGCACTGGAGGTCCTTAAAATAAATTCTTCAAAAAATCCACGTTTATTGTTTGAAAGGTCCTTAAAAGAAATTCTTTAAAAAAATCACGATTGAAGCACTAGAGGTCCTTAAAAATTTCTTTAAAAAATAAAAGCTTATTGTACCAAAGGTCCTTGAAAAAAGTGTAACACTGGAGGTCCTTAAAATAAATTCTTTAAAAAATCCACGTTCGAAGCACTGGAGGTCCTTAAAAAAAATCCTTTAAAAAATCCACGTTTGAAGCACTGGGTGGTCCCTAAAAGAAATTCTTTAAAAAATCCACTGAAGGTCCTTAAAAGAAATTCTTTAAAAATCCACGATTGAAGCTTTGAAAATGTCCTTAAAAGAAATTCCATAAAAAATCCACTGAAGGTCCTCAAAAGAAATTCTTTAAAAAATCCACGTTTGAGGAGGTCCTTAAATGAAATTCCATAAAAAATCCACTGAAGGTCCTTATAAGAAATTATTTAAAAAATCCACGTTTTAAGCACTGGAGGTCCTTAAAATAAATTCTTAAAAAAAATCCACGTTTAAAGTACTGGAGGTCTTTAAAAGAAATTCTTTAAAAAATCTTGAAAATAAATCTTTAGAAGAAGAAGGCCCTTAAAATATTCACGTTCATAACCAAGAAAGTCCTTAAAAATTTAAAATTGAAATTTTATTTTAAATCCATGTTTGAATGTCCTGGAAATTTATTTCAAAAGTCCACGTTTGAAGGTCCTTGAAATTTTATTTTCAAATTAAAAATAAAAATATTTAAATCTAATTTTAAGGACCTTCAATCCTTGAAATTTTATTTCACAAATCCACGTTTGAAGGTCCTTTAACTTTTATTTTAAATTCAAGTTTAAAGGTCCTTGATATTTTATTTCACAAATCCAGGTTTGAAGGTCCTTGATATTTTATTTCACAAATCCACGTTTGAAGGTCCTTGAAGTTTTATTTTCAAATTAAAATTAAAAAAAAATATTAAAATCTTATTTTACAGACCTTGAAATTTTTTTTAAATCCACGTTTGAAGGACTTTGAAATTTATTTCACAGCCTTGAAGGTCCTTGAAATTTTATTTTCAAATTAAAATTAAAAAAAAATATTAAAATCTAAGTTTAAAGACCTTCAATACTTGAAATTTTATTTTCAAATCCACGTTTGAAGGTTCTTGAAATTTTATTTTAAATCCAAGTTTAAAGGTTCTTGAAATTTTATTTTACAAATCCACGTTTGAAGGTCCTTGAAATTTATGTCACAAATCCAAGTTTGAAGGTCCTTGAAATTTTATTTCTAATCCACGTTTGAAGCTCCGTTTGTAGGCCCTTGGTATTATATTTGAAATCCACGTTTGAGAGTCTTTGATATTTTATTTCACAATTCCACGTTTGAAATTCCTTGAAATTTTATTTTAAATTCACGTTTGAAGGTCATTAGAATTTATTTTCAAATCCACCTTTTAAGATCCTTAGAATGTTATTTTAAAATCACGTTTGGTGGTCCCTGATTTTTTCTTCAAATCCACGTTTGAAGTTCCTTAAATTTTATTTAAAAATTCCAAATTTGATTGTCCTTCTTAAAAAATCTTCAAAGAAACTCTTTAAAGATATCCATGTTTGATGATCCTTATTATCCTGGAAATATATATATTTTTTTAAAAATCGTAATGAGTCCTTGAAAAAAATTTCTTTAAAAATATTAATATTTGACAGACAGTTAGTCCTCAAAGGATTTTTTTTACAAATCCATGATTTTGGGATTAAAAGCCCATTGTTGCCTCTAATCCTTGAAGTAGTCTTAAATTGTTATACTACCATAAATGTTCATTCCAGCCTACCTAAGGATACTAGTCCTTAACCAGAATTTTCTCCTGCAGGACTTAGTAACTTTAGCCGCTTAAATATTTTATGTTTTATGCCATTGTTAAAAGAAACCCAAACTAAGGACATGAGAGAATGAAAAAAAAAAACGGGCAAAAAGAACATTGGCTGTTTCTTTTGTTATCATCCGAAATGATGTTGTGGGCCATACACAACATTGTTGTGTGGTTAGCTTTTTTTAGGACCACCACACAAAAGAGGAAAACTGGCGGAAAATGAGAAGTATATTATAAGGATATCAACACCTTAAAGGCAACACCTTTTTCTGTGGACTTTTGGGATTAATGTTTGCAAAGGAGTTTTTTTCTCTTTTTTTTTTTTTTTTTTTTGAAAAAAAAAATAAATTTTGGGGAAAGGAGATGCCAGAAACTTCCAATTTAAAAAATATGAAATTAATTTTTTAATTATTTTTATTTTATTTATTTATTTATTTATTTATTATTATTTTTTTTTTTTTTTTTTTGATTTTTAGCCACTGTTTCTTTTTTTGACAGTCCCAAGATCCTTTTGCTCCTGCATTCTGTTCCAAGGACTTTTTTTTACCATATTTTTTATCAGTCCTTAGGACCTTTTGCTCCTGCAATCTGTTTTAAGGACTTTTCAACATATTTTTATCAGTCCATTTTTGTGTCATAACGCTCACATTAATGTCCTTTATAATAATGTGTTTTTTTTTTTCTCTCCCTCTCTCTTCTCTCAATTTCTTTTCAGGTACGTGCCAAAAGAGTTGCTAATTTTTTGTTGTTGTAGTTCCCTCCTCCTCTAAACGCTAATGTGTTTTTTTCTTGGTAAGTACAAGTGTTGTCTGATGCCTGTAGGCTTGTTATGACCAAAAAAAAGAAAGGACAGGATAAAAACGGTAGAGGCGAAAATGTCATCATCAACATCACCAACTTCATTCAGTCATTGCGAAAACGTTGGCAATTATCAGTGACAAGTTAATGTCATTGTTGTTTCTTTTAAGGACTTGTAAGTAATTTAACACACAGATTGATGGATGGATGGGTTAAATGGGAAATCGAAGAGAAAAATATTTTAAGCTGCAAAATTGAAGTAAAAAATTAAAAGTTAAAAAAAAAGAAAAATGAAAAAAAAGAAAAATTAAAAAAAAAGAAAAATTAAATTTTTGGTGAAAAAAAAAATTCTTAAAAAAAAACAAATATAATCTTGTGGGAGGTCCAGACGGCGTGAACCGATAAGTTCCATATTTACAACAGATTTCCGGTTGGGAAAAATATTTAGATACACCAAACTCAAAAAGCATTGCTGCCTTGTATTGAAAACTGTGATACTTTGTGGGGGAGATACCAGAAGGGGTAGACCGATATCTATCATCTTCCCACCAGATCTTGTGCTAATAGAAATATTGGAATGTGCGAATTTTGAAGACAATCGAACTATTATTTCACATTTTATAAGAGTTATCATTATTCCAAAATTTTGACCCCTTTGTGGGGGAGGTACCAGAAGGAGTAGGCCGATATCTATCATCTTCACACCAGATCTTGTGCTAGTAGAAATATTGGGATGTGCAAATTTTGAAGACAATCGAACTATTATTTCACATTTTATTAGAGCTATAATTATTCCGCATTTTGACCCCTATGTGGGGGAGGTACCAGAAGGAGTGGGCCCATATCCACCATCTTCATACCAGATCTTGAGCTAGTTGTAATATTAGGATGTGTAAAATTTGAAGTGAATTGGATGTTTATTTCGCATTTTATGAGAGTCATAATTATTCCGAATTTTGACCCCTTTGTGGGGAAGGTACCAGAAGGAGTGGGTCGATAGCTATTATCTTCACACCAGATCTTGTGCTAGTAGAAAGATTGCGATGTGTAAAAATTAAAGAGAATTGGATACTTATTTCGCAATTTAGGAGAGTCATAATTATTCCGAATTTTGACCCCTTCGTGGGGGAGGTACCAGAAGGGGTGGACTGATTTTTATGATCTTCCCACCAGATCTTATGCTAATAAAAATATTGGGATAAGTGAATTTTGAAGACAATCGAACTATTATTTCACATTTTATAAGATATATAATTATTCCAAATTTTGACCCCTTTGTGATGGAGGTACCAGAAGGAGTGAGCCGATAGCTTTTATCTTCACATCAGATCTTGTACTAATAGAAATATCGGGACGTGTCAAAATTGAAGAGGATTGGATGCTTATTTTGCATTTTATGAGACTCATAATTATTCCAAATTTTGACCCCTTTGTGGGGGAGGTGCCAGAAGGGGTGGACCGATATCTATCATCTTCACATCAGATCTTTTGCTAGTAGAAATATTAAGATGTGTGAAATTTGAAGTGAATTGGATTTTTATTTTGCAATTTATGAGAGTCATAATTATTCCGAATTTTGACCCCTTTGTGGGGGAGGTACCAGAAGGGGTGGGCCGATAGCTATCATCTTCACACCAGATCTTGCGCTAGTAGAAAGATGACGATGTGTGAAATTTAAAGAGAATTGGATACTTATTTTGCATTTTATGAGAGTTATAATTATTCCGAATTTTGACACCTTAGTGGAGGAGGTACCAGAAGGGGTGGACCGATTTCTACCATCTTAACATCAGATCTTGTGCTAGTAGAAATATTGGGACGTGTAAAATTTGAAGTGAATTGGATGCTTGTTTCGCATTTTATGTGAGTCATAATTATTCCGAATTGTGACACCTTTGTGGGGGAGGTACCAGAAGGAGTGGGCCGATATCTACTATCTTCACACCAGATCTTGTGGAAGTAGAAATATTAAGATGTGTCAAATTTGAAGAGAATTGGATGCTTATTTTGCATTTTATGAGAGTCATAATTATTCCGAATTTTGACCTCTTTGTGGGGGAGGTACCAGAAGGAGTGGGCCGATAGCTATTATCTTCACACCAGATCTTGTGCTAGTAGAAAGATGGCGATGTGTGAAATTTAAAGAGAATTGGATACTTATTTCGCAATTTATGAAAGTTATAATTATTCCAAATTTTGACCTCTTTGTGAGGGAGGTGCCAGAAAGGGTGGACCGAAATCTATCATCTTCACATCAGATCTTGCGCTGATACAAATATTGGGATGTGTGAAATTTGAAGAGAATTTCCCATATTTTAAAAGTCATAATTATTCCGAATGTTGATCCATTTGTGGGGGAGGTACCAGAAGGAGTGGGCCGATATCTATCATCTTCACACCAGATCTTGTGCTAGTAGAAATATTGGGATATGTGAAATTTGAAGACAATCGAACCATTATTTCGCATTTTATGAAAGTCATAATTATTCCAAACTTTGACCCCTTTGTGGAGGGGGTACCAGAAAGAGTAGGCCGATATCTATCATCTTTACACCAGATCTTGTGCTGATAGAAATATTGGGATGTGTGAAGTTTGAAGATAATCGAACTATAATTTTAAGTTTCATAAGAGTTATAATTATTCCGAATTTTGAACCCTTGTGTGGGATGTACCAGACGGTAGACTGCTGTCATACTAGTAGCGTAGCCCGACGACGTCAAGGAAGTGGACGGAAGAAAACAGCAACATCAGCAGAAAAGGTTAGAAAATGAAACAAGCGTCTTGATCGCAACCCGCGAAATGTGGCCGAAAAATGGCTCGTGAGCTGAACCTATCTCAATATTCCATTCGGCAAATATTGAAATATGAGTTCGAACTTACACCGCAACAGAAAGAAAATAGACTCAAAAGAGCTAAAGAGTTGCTTCGCTTGGCCGAAAGTGGTGAACTGCCGAATTTGGTTCTCTCCGATCTCCAATGAGAAAACATTCGTTGTCCAGTAGTTTGTAAACAAACAAAAGAGGTCAGCTGAAAATGTGCACCTTAGGTTGGCCACTAAAACTCAAGCGCCGGCCATGGTGATGGTATGGGCCGCCCTAACAGCCGATGGTCGCTCTCCGCTCGTATTAACCGACCGTGGCATTAAAATAAATGCCCAATATTATCGCGAAAATATTTTGGAGGATGTATTAATACCTTGGGCACGCAAACCTTTTTTGCCGCAGAAGAATGGTTACAAAATGAGGTTCCTCGCTTCATTTCCAACGCACAATGGCCACCAAAATCTCCGGATACCAATCCGTTGGACTATTGTGTCTGGTACTTTAAAAAGCAAGGTTGGCACTCAAAAACACCAAAGTGTGAATCACCTCAAGCAAGCACTTCGCCGGGAATGACCCAAAATACCGCAGAGCAACATTCGGGCAGCGTGTGACGGTTTCATTCGAACAAATCTAAACTTATTCTAAAATTTGATGCTATTTCCTTTATTTTTTTCTTTCATTTAATAAAATTAACAAAAAAAATGTAATTATTATGGCTTTTGACTTTGTTGATTTTTTTTATCTCACCCTGTATTAGTATTTAAATATTTAATTTTAAAAATTATATATTTTTTATTATTAAAAAAAAATAAAGATTTTTTTATTTCATTGTTAAAATCTTTGTTTTTAATTTTGTCACTTAGTCTATTTCTCCAAGCAAAGGTTAAAAACAAAGAGTTGACTGACAGAACAAATCTAAGAGAAATTCCCCCCAACAATCACCTGTTGAGTCAAATGAATACCACACAATGGCAAATTTAAAGAGATGCTCTCTCTCTCTCTCTCTCTCTCTCTCTCTCTCTCTCACACACTTTTAAATGCTCCACCATATCTTGACCTATGCTATGATTTTCTTTGTTAGTTTTTGCATTTTGTTTGTTTTTTTTTTTTTTTTTTTTTAATTTACTCCCTCCCCTCCAATCCGTTAACATTGTTGTGCTCACAACACCCAGCTTGAAAACAAAGCCAAAACAGAAAACCAAAAATCAACGAAAATGAAACCGCAACCACAACAAAAAAAAATAAGTAAATCCGATGCATGATGGCACGTTCCCCTTTAGATTTTTTGGCATTTTTGTTGGTCATATCACGTTTTATGTGTTTTGATTGCGAAATTCGCGCGTGTGATTGTAGGGAAATCAATCGCTCGATTAAAACCACAAAAAAAGTATTGACGGATTGCATAAGGCGAAGCCAATAGATAGGTGGATAATGCAACAAAAGTAATAATTATAATACTATTTTTAATCTTGTCTTGAATAGAAGAAGAAAGAAAAAAATGAAATGAAACAACATAAGAATCTATTGAGAGTGCACTGGGCAAAAGGGAAAGGAGAAAGAGAAAGGTTTTTTGCCAATTTGCTATGGAGTAAATTGATGCGGCATTTGTGAAGGGGAACAGTGGCACAAAAGAGTTGTAATTGTGAATCTATTGGAATATATATTTTTTGATGGAATATGTAAAGATTTATGGAGCCATAAAACAGATAAAAAATATAAATAAATATAATATAAGAAGGTTTTTTATTTTAACTTTTAGATTTTGAGGGAAAATGTTTTGTCATCGAAAAATGAAAAGAAAGAAAGAAAAATCTATAGAAATTCGTTTTCTTGCCTCTTTTGAGGCCAATAAAAAAATTATTAAAAATCGTTTCAATCAATGGTTTGAATAATATATATGGGAAATTTTCCAAAGTCAAAATTTTCATGATCACAGCTTTTTAAGATTCATTTATTTTAGATTTATTTTTAGAACGATTTTTTCGGTAATTGCGGGTTTTGTTTTTTTATACATAAATATTTTTCAAAAATTATTTTTCCCATATTTTTCAATATATTTTGTAATATTTTTGTTATACTAATACGAAATATTAAAAAAATATTTTTTTTTAAATATATAAAAAAGTATATATTTTTTTAATTTTAAAATTTAAAAAAATATTATTTAAAAAAAAATAAAATAAACTAATAATATTTAAATATTTGAAATTTAAATTTATTAGTACT